GGGCTGATGGGTAAGTTCGTTATCTTGATTCTGGTAATGGTTTTATGGGCGTATGTGTATGTCAAAATTTATCAATGGTAGACTTTAAGCATGTCAGTCCATTGTAGGCCAATTATGCCTCAACAACAGTTTTAAAAGATTAAGGAGACACATTTGAAAAAGAATTTAAGCATCCTCTGACATACCCAGCCCTTTTACTCCTAGGTAAAGGAATATACTCTCAGGAAAAAAAATGTTACACAAAAGTTTACCAGCTTTCCTGGTGTCAACAGGCAAAGACTGGAAGCAACAAGCGACTGAATCAACAACTTGTGGCATATCCATGTAATACTATTCAGTAAAATACTCTTCTGCACAAAAAGGGACAAAGTGATGACACACGCACCAACAGGGATGAATCTCAAAAGAGTTATGCTGAGTGACAGAAGCCAGAAAAAAAGGTGGTGCGTACTCTGTGGTTTATGTTTATAAAACCATGGGAAATACAAATGAACTCAGAACCACAGAAACAGAGCAAGAGGAACTGGATGCCGGAGGGGACGGCCACGGCCAAGCTCAAGAAAACTTCCCGGAGCGATGGCTACGTTCACTCTCTTGATTGTGGTGCTGGTTTCCCAGGCACACACACATACACAAACTTATCAAACTGTACACTTTAGATGTGTGCAGCTTATTGTATGTCAATGACACCCCAATTTTAAAGAAATGACCAGTTTAAAATAATGAATCTTTCAGGTGTACAGCACAGAGGTTAGATAATCATATATTTTACAGTGTGTTCCTCTAATATTTTCAGGACCCACCCGGCACTATACATATGTATTATAATATTATTTCATTGAATTGATTAAGGTGACATTGAGTACAAACTGCAGTTGAAAAATAAATAATTAAAATGCGGATCTGGTCACACCACTCTTGCGTCACACAGAATGCTGCAGGGGTCACTGGCCACACCAGGTCCGAGTCTGGCCCAATACAGCGCGACATTTCTGCAGCCTCACCTCTCCTCTCTCCTCACCTACCCGATAGCTACGTTCTCCTTTTAACACATACCGCCTCACCCCACCCCTTGCTTTTGCTCATGCCATCCTTGTCCGCTGAGATGCACTCTTTCCCAATCTCTTGTAAAACGCTACACGTCCTTTAGAGTCCAGCTAAATGCCTTCCCCATCAAGCCTGCCTGGATTCCCACTGCTGTTTGTGTGCGTTTTCTTCTTCAGACGCTCGTAGCACTGCGTGCACGTGTCGTGGTTCTCGCCATAGCCTGGCTCTGTGTGCTTATCTTAACTTCCCAACACAGTGACTTGCACATGTGTTCTTAACTTCCAACAAATTGCAGACTCAGACGAGAGCAAGGACTCGATAGATCATCGGTATGTCCTCGGCAGTATGCAGCTCAGTGACTTACTAGTGACAGGTGCCGTGAATAAATGTGCGAAAATATTTTTTGAGTTGAATTAGAGAATTTGGTTTCTAAATGATTTCATCCTAAACTCAGGCCTTCTAATCACACACCTGCAATGAACTATGTAAATCTGAGCATAAGAATAAATACACCTTGAGCTACCCTCGTAAGAAGCCTGGATGACAACTTAGGCAGTTTCTCTGAGTGAGAAGTTTCATATAAAATTAAGGAAATCTTCCCCGGTCTTCTCTGGGCTCTGCTTGTTGTTAGCACCATCTTCAAGCAACAATGTATGTAACATGAAGGAAATGGAACAAACTGGCCCATGAAAATCAGAACATGCCAAGTTTCTAGGTCGGTGAGCTCTTACAAAGTAGCTAACTGAATCCAAGAGCCTCTGCCGCATTCTCCGAACTAAGAATCATTGTCCCAGAATGCCACCTGTTTTCCCCACTAACACCGTCTTCCATATCCCGATGAGGTTGATGGGAATTGTTCACCATTTTCAGTAAAAAGATTTTTTCTTCCGAGAGCGTGCCCCTTGGGTACCTGGACTCTTCTGAGGTTTGGGTTCCATCGTGGCTGCGCGCTTTCCCCTGACAAAAAGAAGCATTAAGAGTAGTTAGTCCCCAAACAGTGCGCTTCGCTGGCGAGCCACTTGATCATCAAGAATGAGGATGGTGCCCAGGAATGTGGATGAGATGGGTTCCCTGCCTCCTCCCCCAATCCCCAGGGCTGACGGTAGCCATGGCAACAAGGACCTGTCCAAGCCGTGCTCACCCAGTGGCAGTTGTGTGGAGATGTCGCTAGGATGACCGAAGGCGCTGTCTTCCCTGGACTTTGCTCCCGCCCTGATAGAAGAACCCCTGGCAGGGAGCAACACCACGAAGGGCAGGTAAGAACAGGATGCACTGGAAAAAGTATACCTGAGAAACATCTCTGGTCAAGTGGAAGCTCAAGATAGGCCCTTCCCCATGCCAGGAACTCACTTTCCCCAGAGGGAGCCTAAGAGCAAAGACCCAGGTGTACTTAAACTGCCTCGGCCACCTGAGTGGTCGGTTCCCAAGGCCGCCTGACTCTGGGGACTGAGGCTGACACGGTGAAACCGACCCTGAGAGGAGACGGCTTTCCAGGACAGGCTGCCAGCGCTCCCATGACCATTGCTGGCCCAGAGAGACGGGGAATCCCACCAGATAAAGGGCCCCGGGGCAGGTGAGGCCTTTAGAACAGGAATGTGTCAGTGGCCATTTGTTTCTTTTCTTTCTTTGCTTTCTTCTTTTTTTTTTTTTAATCTTGAATGAATAAGACTCTCGCAATAGAAGGAAGCAGTGCACAGGGCAGCGCCGGGACAGCCCCAGGGAGGGGCGCGGGGACTTTTGCCGTTCACAGGCGTGTTATCATTCCTCCCTCCTGATTTCTCTTTTTCTTCTGCTTCAACTCACTCTTCCTCCTCGGCATAAATGACTCAGAGCAATTCCTTAATCAGACACATTTATATGTTTATACACCTTTATCTAACTGTTTTTTAAAACATTGATAACAGTCTTCAGGTCAAGAGCATGAGCTCTCAAAGCCTACTTTTGGTGGTTTGTCAGTAGCAACCAGTGGGAGCTGTTTGCAGACCAGTGGGTTTTTCTGGACTCGGAGCCCACCTGGCATGGCCAGACAACAGTTTCTCTGTTGAGTGAGGTATCCTTATATACTAACGATAATGACTGTGTAAACAAATAACAAACAAATAACAAGTGAAATAACAAATAAGACCTTTCTGGGGCACCTTGAGGTGCACATTGAGGAACTGGTGCCCTGGGCCCTGGTCTAGCACAAGGGACATACTTTGCTCTGTGCAATGAGCTGGAATGCCTGAGAAAGGCACCAGGCCACGGAGGCCAACCCCCCGCCCCCAACCCCCTGCCCAGCCCCGTTCCCTGGGAGAGCAATTCTGCACGAGGAGAGGAATATAACATACCTCAATTTTGCCCACTCTCCCTCCCCACAAAAAACACGGACATTAAAAAAAATTACCCCTGTGATTTTGTATCCTTCCCAGTTTTAGGGGTTTCCCCGCCTGAAGCAGAATCGGGACCTGTGGTTTTCAGCCCATCACCCTCCCCTCCCTCCCGTGTACACGGTGGCATGTGGCCACCTCTCCCAGGGAGCACGGAGCTCTGTGAGTGCTGGAGTTCCAAGATCAGATGAGAAGACTGTGCAAGAGTGATTAGCTGAGAGTGAGATATTTTCAAGCAGTGTTTACTGCAAGCCCTTGGTTAACAAAGCCAAAATTCTCTTTTTCTCGATAAAACAATCATTTGTATAGCCTTTGCAACTTATAAATGTGTTTGCATACACTATCGCTTTGGTGTTTCAGAGCTGTGCTATGAGAGAACTTGTTTTACAAATGAACCACATTTGCTGGGTTCTCCGGCAGAGTGCCATAATGCACCACACCGATGCTTACTCACAGACAATACATATTTCATAGTATCTATATAAATTCTACATTAATAATGAAACCTAGTATATGTACACACATATATAAAATCCATTATATACATTTATATGCAATGCATTATATCAACACTTATATGATATAAGCAAACTCATATATATGAAATCTCATTTTATATATATATATATATATATATCATAACAATGCTATAAGGCTTACACTATTTTCACAATGATACAATACCCATTTTACAGATAAGGGCACTTCCTCAAGAGATTATGCCATTTGCCTTTGATCCCATAACTAAAAAGAAGCGGAGGCAGAATTCTAACTTGAGAGTTGGTGTCTAAACTCCTTTCTCTCAGTCCTAGCTGAGAAAGAACTAAATCACTTCATAGTTGTGCTTGCACTTCTCGTCATTGCCTCCAAACAAAAAGCCTTTCAGAGTCAGCTCTCTAATCTCATTCAGGCGAGTCTACCCACTGTCACGGTTACTGAACCTGGTCATTGCCTTGTCATTTGGGATTTGATGAATGTGATATCAAGAGGTCCCATTTCCCCCCAACCCCCTGACGGTACAGCCCACAGAGGCAACCAAGAAAGAGTCCATACCAGCAATTTTGCCCAATTAAGCTTCCAGATTGCCACTGCCCTGAGAACCCAAACTAATCAGGCCAAACAGTACTTACTGGAAGCCAGGAGGTCACTGGTTCAGTTCTTAGCAAAGTGCCCTCTCCTTGGGTTTCTGGAGTTCGCACCTGCTCCCTCGGTGCTGAGTGCCAGGGGGAGGATCGAAGGACAAGCTCTGTTTGAAATTTGAACCTACAGGAAGTTCCCCGACTTCTGTCTTAGGACAGATTTTACTCTTGCCCCACGCTGAAAAGGAAGCTGGTAGCCCAGGGACTTCTCCTTGTGGCTTGGACAGAACTGCCCTGGGCATTCCAGCTGTCTAGCAATAAACAACAACAACAACAACAACAAAAGAAAACATGAAAAACAAATTCTGCCAGACTTTGGACCGCAGTTACAATGACTTACTAACAACAGCACCAGCCCAGCCCTGACCTCCTGCGGTGACGACCATGAAAACATCCTCTGGCTTCCCACCCAGTGTATCCTCCCCCTGTCTGCTTGGTGATGACAGAAAAGATGCCTTTGTGCTAAATAAGGAAACAAAAGCCTGGCTTCTCCAACACATTTGTGCTCTCCAAGGAACTATGGGAAGATGGGCTTATTCATCCATAATGAAGTTGTCATCGACAGGGTGGCACGAGGTAGGTTCCCCCGCACACCCACCCAACAGTCCTTAAACTGGCTAATGGGAACGGCCACTCTTAGACCTGCTGTGCGGTGTCTGGCCACCCTGGAGCCTTCGGTATACTTTCACTTATATTACATTTGGGGGGGAGGGGAGAGAAAGTGGCTAATAAATTTTATCTTCTTTGATCACCTTTGGAAGTGAACATACAACATTTTAATCTTTTTCTTTCCGGGTGTAACTGGCTTTGAACCAGCTCTGCCAGCTACTCCCTGAGTGGCCTTGGCTGGTTTCAGGCTTCTCGTTTTCAAAATGGGGTGGATAGTGTTGGCCTCACAGGATCTTTTTAAATATCAAGTAAGATTTTATATATATTTTAAAAGCATGTGGTGCCGTGCTCGATCTACTGTACGCACTGAACAAAGATCATTCTCCATTTTTTCTCTTTTGTGCCCTATACAGGGTACAGAGTTCAGGTCCCTTTATTTAGAAAACATAGCTGAACTTCAGACACTCAGGTACAATTACTTTTTTCATTTACTTCCTGTGCAGGACAGGTGGTTTAGGAGGAATAATTTCTTGGAATGCATTTCCTTGTATGTGTCTTTCGGTCAGCTTTTGACTGGTCTGGAAATAGCCTTTAGTATTTTCACATTTGGCCCTTAACTAGACATTCCCAGTTATTGCTCTGAGCAGTTCATAAAATCTTGCACTGGCCTCCACCTACCTGGGAACTAGAATGCTACCGACAGCCTATCATAATCCAGACACCTAACCAAAAAGTGGGGGAGAGAAAATTACTTTAATAGTGTGTGCCTTTGGAAAAGATATCTATAAATCAGTAAGACAAACAGAAGGACTTTTCATCCATCCATCCATCCGTCCATCTATCCATCCATCCATCCATCCATCCATCCATCCCTGTATCCATTTACCTACACACTCATTTAGCCCACCTGTTCTAGGCTTTTTGGTCATATTTTCCTAATAGTATTACAAAGCTTTTTGAAGAAGAAACTTAGTATATTCTATAGGTGCTTAGGAAAGCTATTTGTGTTGTAGATGCCACCTGTAATATAAAAACTTGAAAGCAACCAAAAATTGGCACAGATCCTAGACACCGGACTTGTGAAAAGGACACATACCTATGAAATGCAAGCACTGTTACTATGACTGGCTTGAGTGACCTGTAAACACTGTATCAGTGTAATATCTATTGCAAAAAAGCAATCAGTTGTTCATTAGAAATATCAAAGGAGCACCCTGGCTGGAGTGGCTTAGTTGGTTGGGCATCAACTGCAAAGCGAGAGGTCATGGTTCAATTCCCAGTCAAGGCGCATGCCTGGGTTGTGTGTTCAGAACCCCGGCATGGTGCCTGTGGGAGGCAACCAACTGATGTTTCTCTCTCACATTGATGTTTCTCTCCCTCCTTTCCCACTTCCCTTTCCCTCTCTCTAAAAATAAATACATATTTTAAGAGAAATATCAAATGAGCTATTCCATGAGCTTGCTAATTTGTGCTTCTCAAAGGGGAAGAGACATGTATGAATGACCCATGGACATGGACGATGGTATAGGGATTGACTGTGGGAGAGGGGGTGGGTGGGCTGGCCTTTTGCCTCAAAGGGGCAAACATTGAGACAGCCGTAATAGAACAGTAATAAAATATCTAATCACAAAAGAAAGTGCTCTTTAGCTATATACGTGTCTTAACCAAAACAAGCCAAACAGTTACTACTACATGATGATACGCAACATTTATTGGGAATTTTTCTTGTACGCATAATATCTCATTTAATCCCAACCATTGTGCAGGCTAAAAATTATGCCTCCTTAATTTTAGAAGCAGAAAACTGAAAACTGGAGAGAAGAACTTGCTCAAAGTCACGCAGCTAGTATGTGACCAACAGAAACCAAACTCTGGTCTGTCCTGCCCCCCAAACGTGCCTGCGCCCTTCCGTGCCCCACACTGTGTTGGGTCCTGGGCGGGGCTCAGTCGGTCTGGCTTCTTGGCCTGCTCTGCCACCAACTGTGTGACCCTGTACGGGTTGCCAGCTTTTCGGGTCTCGTAATTTCATGGCTGCCCCTTCCTAGAAGATCTCCCATTCTATGGGCACTCCCATAGAAGTACCCATTCAACTCTGATTTTGATGACGCCCTGGCAGCAAAGCCGACGACTTACCAACATGCAGGCTGCCTCCCCGTACAGTGTGTATTCATTCTCCACGCGATTGGTGAATTTGCCTTTGTCGGCGTCACAGAGGAAGGAGCGACATCAGTGACGTCACTGCAGGGCATCCCTGGGACCTCTTCTCTGGAACAAGGCATCCAAGGGAAGCAAGGTGAGAGCTCGGATTCCATGTTTTCCTGTTAGGAGAAGGAAAAATTCTCTTGAGTGTCAGTTTGCATTAAATCGTTTATTGCATGTAGATAAAAATCATTGTGATTGAAAGATGCTATGATTTAGGCCTTAGGAACTGGTCCAGGGATAGAGATAGGGGAGGGAGTGTGGGAGGAGAGAGAGGAGAAAGGATAGAAGAGAAGAGAAGGGAGGGGAGGACTCAGCACAGCACAGTATTTTCAAGCACGGAGTCAGCTTTGCTGGGTCGTTACTGTGCTCTGTGATCTTGGGGAACTCACTTAACGTTTCTATGTCTCAGTTTCCTCATCTTTAAAATGGGGAGGTGAAACAACTCCTTGAGTTGTTATGAGGATCAAATGAGCAGCTATTGGTAAAGAATTCAGAACAGTGCTTGGCAGGTGGTAAGCACTTCATAAGTGTTTGTGAAATGAATCAAGGGCATCGTGTCTGATTTACAGATGAGTTTGTGCGTTAGCTCACCACTGATGGGAGGGGCCGAGCTCCCCTCTGAGTTTGAAGACTCTTCAAGGTCGTTACGTAGTGACAATGTGTGTGTCAGGTTGTAACAGGGTGCAGCCAAGGGGGAGGCCCCAAATAGGGATTTGTAATGGGGTTCAGAACTTGTTGTTCAGGAAATAATAGAAAAAAATATACATAGGATGTCCTCACCCCCACAAGTCTGAGCTGGGGATGGGACACATGGAGCAGGGCCATTGAGAACTGTTTTGCATAGCAACAGTTTTGCAGATAACCTCTGGTTCAGCCATTTAACATATCTATAACCTTTAACTGGTTTCATAGATATGTTAAATAGCTGTGGCCATATTTTGAGCCAGGGGGATGAGAGTGACTTCAACCCATGATGTAACTGGGAGGCAACTCTCCCTGGTTACAGAGCCTGCGTAAGAGCTTGGAGATGATTGGCTGCACACCACAGGGCCACACCTGCCTGGACTTACTAGGGCAGCCTAGTAAAGCTGGAAAAGTACGGGAATGCTGGCAGCTGTGGCCAATTGTGGGAGGAGTCAGAAATCGTGCGGCAGAGGAAGATTGGTGCTGGGATTTAAACCCAGGCACGGCAGCCGTGTGGGGTATTTTTGGGACCACGCGGCTTGAGCAGAGAAGAACCACAGACTTCTACTACTTTTTCTGAGATACGGTACCCTGGACTGGGCAGAGGGAGAAGGAAGGACTGTGCGTTTGTGGGTATTGTAAAGGACTTTGGGATCTTAATGAAGATATTGTTATTACTCTTAAGTTTATATAGCTCTTTAAATAAATAGTCCCTTACCTTTTCATCAATCTCTGGCATTGAGAGACATCTTTCCCTGGCGGTGGGCAAGGCGAACCCAGTACGTGGTGAGGGACCCCTGGAGCACAAGGGCGAGCCCATTTGGTAATAGCATATCATTCATCCCCCACCCCCACTGGGTCTGTTTTGTACCAAGGTCATTCCTTCTTAGTTTCACAGGAGTGTATAGAGGCCACAGGGGCTCAGAGACCATCTAAAGAGAACCTGGCCATAAGCATCACCATGGAGTTGAAACCCACCAGATCCCCTAGAACACCTCAGAACACCCAAACACCTCAGAACACCTAGTGTATGCTTCTGATGTGTATCAACTCACTGGGACACCTGGGGTTTGTCCCCTTTCTCCCCCTGTGGGGGTGGGGGTAGACGGATGACCTCCAGGCATCTAACAGCCCTCGGTCCCTGGGTCTCATAATAATACCATCTTAACTGAGTCTGCAGTTTGCCTTTTACAACGCATTTGCACAATGTCCCCTACTGTCTGCACAGGAACCTGGTGAGGGCGGCAGGTCAGATGTGCTTTCCCCTGGTTTACAGTTGAGAAGGGAAGCCGGCTGATAGAAGCTCAGATGCCCGGTAAGTCACTCTCGAGGGTAGCTGTGCTGAGTCTCACCGGGAAACTCGGGAAGCCGGTTTATAACACCTGCCTTGCTTTCTCCACCCAGGGATGAGGGGCTGGGGTGTTTATTGAGGAGACGAACTCTTGTCAGTCATCATGGGGACATTAATTCCTGGCACTTCTGGCCTCTCATGCATGTAGCACAGTGGGCTCAGAAGGCAGAGGGATCCAGAAGGACACGTGGGTATTGGCACTTGGGAGTGGGCCCCTGCAGTGAAGTAACTAGCATGAGGGGCCACCAGCATCTGCTATAGTCTCCTATGGGAAAATGCTCTTCTCACCTCCACTTGCAAACAGGTCTGTGAAGTGTAGTTGTTTCGTTGGGCACATTGCTATTTCCATCTTGAGCATGGTTTGAGGATAAGGAAGTAGAGACACGTGGCAAACTAACTAATGACCCCCCACCCCAAGATGGCCACGCCCTGGTCCCGGGGATCTGTGAATATGTTTCCTCCAAAAGCAAAAGGGACTCTGCAGATGTGAGTAAATTCAGGAGACTGAGATGGGAGGTTATCCCGGCTTATCTGGGGGGGCGTGATGTAGTTCCAAGGGTCCTTCCCTCACAGGAGGGAAGAGAGAAGATGGTATGCTGTTAGCTTTGAGGATGGAGGAAGGGGCCAAAGACACGGAATGTGGGCATTCTCTAGAAGCTGGGAAAACCCAGGAAATAGATGTCCCCTGAAGCCTGTAGAAGGAACACAGCCCTGCCCTTGCCTTGACTTTATATTTCTGACCTTCAGAACTCTTAAGAGAGTAAGTTAGTGTTAAGCCACTGGCTTTGTGGTATTTGTTACGGTAACAATAGGAAAATCTTAGAGAGAATGGGTATTGGATGTGCTAACAATAAAGGTCTACCACAGACATGTAGTGGATAGCTCAAACAACTTGTGCGTAACGGGACTCTTGATTTCCACCACTCCCTCCCTTCTCCCAAACCTCTCCCCAGTCTCCAGAAACAGAAGCATTTCATGAACCTAGAAGTCACCTTCAACTTCTAGACTTTTCCCACATTCCCACTTCATGTCTGCCAGAAAAGTTGCTAGCTCTACTTTCAAGACAAAGCCCACGGCTGACCACCTCCCATGACCTCCACGGCCACTCCATCCTGTCTTCGTCTCACCTGGGCCACTATGGCAATAGCTTCTCACCTGGGCTCCCTGCTTCTACTTCTACATTTTCTCTCTTAAATCCATTCTCCAGAGTCTTTTTTTCTAATAGCTTACTGGACCCTATCCCTTCTCTGCTCAAACCCCTCTGATGTCTTCCCATTGCTGGAGAATGAAATCCAAGGTGCTCACCATGGTTGAGAGGCCTCCATGATCCGGCCCTGCCTGCCTTTCACCTTGCTGTCTTATCACCCTGCTCTACAGCACTGACTCTCTTCAAGTTTCTCAGACATGCCCAGGTGGCAGCTGCCTCAGGGCCTTTGCACCTGCTGCTTGCTTTGCATAGAACCCTCCTTCACATGTGCCCATGGCCCACCGCCTCACTCTTCTCAGACTGCCCTTCCCTACCGTTCCTGAGCTATTGGCTCTGCTTCCTCTTTCTTCATCACACTTCTCACTACGTGGAATTGTATTAACTATTTGTCTTCACTAAAATATAAACTCTAGGAGGACTAAGACTGTTTTGTTTCCTGCTGTGTTCATATGTGCAGTCATTTTCTTTTAGGTGTCTATTACAGTTCGTCAAAGACCAGGGATAGCTTCTCACGTAGGTGCAGTTTACTCAGAACACTAATTATGCACTTTTACGTAACCACCCACACCTTCTATCTCTTTATGCCTGAAAGAGAAACCGATCTTCAGCTCCCACAAGTCCTGTCGTAACTTAGAAGAGAAATTGAGAGCCAACTGTGATTTCACTGAAAGTACAAATCCTCCAACACAGCCCTTTCCAATTGCAAACAGATCTTTCCCCCTTGGGAGTGAGAGGGACCACGGTTCCGTTGGTGTGTGGCTACTCAGCGCTAGTGGATTCATTCATTATAGACATTTCTTGCCTGGATTCTGACCTAACCCACTCCTGCTAGCTCACACTCAAATCTGCTGGTTTAAAAAAATAGCCAGATTCCTTTGCTCTTATATGAATTTAAAATGCTTTAAAATTTAAGTTTTTGAAGCCGATGGAATTTATCGTTCTTTACAAATTCCCTCCTCTCTTGTTTTTACTTACTTATAGATTCTCCTCCTCTCCTTCTTACGCCTGGTCTCACTAAAGAGTGTATCTATCTCTTAGGACCCTCCCCAGGTTCCAAAGTTTCTAAACGGTTCAACCCACCCGTTCTCAGGGGCACTCTACCGCTGGGTCACCCTTGGCTGCACAGTGGAGTAACACGGAGAGGGCTGACAACCCCGATTCCTGCTCCCACCCTCGGGGAGCCTGACTCAGTCGGTCTGGGCTGTTGCCTGGGTCCCGGGGCTGGAATTGATCTCCAGGGGATTCTAGATGTAGCCACGTGGCCACGGTGGAGAACCATCCCATCTAGCCCTTCTCATCGGGCTCTCTAGAATAAATGAAACCCCCAGACTTGTTGTAATCTGCCATACATCTCCTTAAGTTCATAAAGGCCTGGCTTTTGCTTGATGACTCAGTGTTCATAACAACACCCACCCAAGGAAACTCGATTTGATTTTACAGTTCCTTAGAGTTTGCAAAGCCTTTGCCACACAGTATTTTTGGCTCCTCCCAGCATCCCCGGGAGGTGAGCCTTCAGGGCGTGGTGGAGCTGGAGCAGCCGTCTGCAGAGTCAGGGCTGTGGTGGCCAGACTGGATAAAACAAGTCAACAAAAATGAAGCAATAACAACAACAAAGCAAACAATTAAAAAAAAAAACCCTCACCCCAAACAGAATGCTGGGCTAAACCAAGCAACATTGGAGACATACTTACATTGAGAAAATTGTTGTTCTTTCTGAAATTCCTAACTGGGCACCCTTTTTTGCAGGACACGCCTACACCCAGGGCTGTCTCCCTGCAGAAGCTTAGGCTCCCAGCTCCGCCACCCTCCGATCTCCCAGCAACTCAACATCCCTGGCTCTTGCCCACCAGCCTCCTCTCCTTTACGGGAGTAGCCATTATCCTCAGGATGAGCCTCTTCTGTGTATTGGGATCTTCTTGCATTTCCTTTTCTCCCCCTTCCTAATCTCCTTTCAGTGGCCTAAATGATTTATGAGGTCAGGCTGGTGTTACAAACACGATCAAACACTTCTTCAGTACTTTCTGTGTGCCAGGCCCTGTGCTAGGTGCTTCGCTCTCATTGCTTCATTTACTCGTTGCCAGCCACTTGCAGGTCAGTCCCCTTCCCTGAGTACCTACCTCCCTAGGACTCTTCCCATCTTAAGGTGGAGAAACAGAGGTTCTGAGAGCTTGAGAGGTTCCTCAAGATCCTACAACTCGGAAGGGCCGAAGCTGGGATGTGAACAGGGCTGTCTGACCAGACCCTTTGTCCTTGAGTGGCGCGCCAGGAAAACGGGATGGCGTTGACAGCTTGGGCTGTGCGCTTCAAGCGTCCCAGCATGGAAGCTCCTGGGACTTGGAGCAGCCATTGGACAAACCTCTTTCATGCCATGTGGGTGGCCTGGGAGATGGAAAGTGTTGACAATATACCAATTCATAAGATGCACGTGTATTTCCGGAAACGTTATTTTTAACCCTGAAAAAAAAAAAGTGTCACCTACGTGCTCTTGAAGACAGACTTCAGCAGCCACTGCCAACCAAGTAACTACTAAATCAACCCAGAGACAATGTTCTTTAAACACTTTTACTGAGGCCAAGGGCCAGATAGTTTGTGCCAATTCTGGGTGACCAGCCACACATATAATGGGTCGAAGAGGCTTTTCCCCCAAAGTGTTTCATATCTTTTTAGATACAAGCTGCCCCTGTGCTTTAGCAGTCTGTAAATATTTGCGCAATTAATGTATGCTGGCAAATGTCTCAAGGGGAAAGCAGGTTTCTGATGTCAAGCAAAATTGCAATTAGTAACACAAAAGAAAAAGATCTTGTCTCTTTCATCTCTGTGCTTACACACTGGCGGCGCTTAATACAGCTGGAAGCTTCAGAAAAGATAATTTGCAAAAGCTGATGTTCCTAAACTTCTAAGAGCTGATCCCATACTCTAGTACAAAAAAACACTCACTTGAGAATTATTTTTTTCCTTCCCTACTTGGCAGTAATCTAGTTACTATTCATTATGAAAGGTGTTTGTAGAGAAAAGTTCTTTTAAAACTCAGTAATGCCATTAAAGGAGGTAGTTTGCATGGCGGTCCCTGCAAGGGGGACAGGGGGAACACGAGTGGCTTTTCTTGTCTAGAAGTGATTGCTAAGTGATCTGGGAGGAAGAGGAAAGGGCTGTGCCTGCTGACACCAGCTGGAGCAGCCTGGGCACCTGCACCCACTCAGGGCCAATTGCCTGCCAGTCCGCATCTCCCTTACACTTCACAGGCTTCCTCCGACTGGCCCTGGGCTTGAACCTCCCATTCAGCTTGTGGACGTTCCTGGGCGAGTTCTCTAGTTCTGTGAACCAGAATGCTTTGTGCCTCGAATCCTTTGCCATGCCAACTGGAGGTAGGATGGCTAGCTGAATTTCATGGACTGAATGTTTGTGTCCCCTCTAAACTTCCCATGTTGAAACCTAGCCCCCAACGGGATGGTGTTTGGAAGTGAGACCTTTGGGAGATGATTTGGTGGAACCCTCATGAATAGGATTACTGACCCCGTGGAAGAAGTCCCAGCGAGCTCCCTTGCCCTGTATGCCACATGAGGACCCAGAGGAGGTGAAGTCTGTGCACCAGAAAGCAGACTCTCACTGGGCGTGGAATCTGCCGATGCCTGGATCTTGGACTTCCCTGCCTCCGGAACTGTGAGAAACACGTTTGTCATTTCAGCCACCCAGTCCATGGTAATTTGCTATATTAGCAGCCAAAACTGATTCAGGCGTGGGGTCTGTGGGTAGACAA